GGCGAAAGATTACATAGCAGGCGTAGATTTATAAAATTCGCAAATCACAAAAACCTACGTTTACGGAAATTTAAGGAAAGATATCACAACCCATACAATCTTATCATGACACATGATTTTTATTTTAACAGAAATTCATTATAGTATCTCTTAATTACAAAAAAAGNAAAATCAATCCTATACCACACATTAAATTTTACGTAATCGTATTTAATCTATATATGTCAGATCAAACCAAAATTATTAACGACAATCTATCAGAACCCGGATACTCACCTATACATACTTGTGAATAATCGAACAAGGGCATAAATTTAAAGTAAAAACGGTTGTCCCGCCCTCTTTAAGGGCGGGTCAAAATCTAGTAGACTATTTAAAATAGCTACGCAGATATCACCATCTTCATGTAAAAGATAAGTACCGTCCAGTCAAATAACTCTAGAAAAATAATGTAAATGTTACAAAATTTAGTTTCATATTAGATTCATCGCTTATTACAATAATGGGAAAGAGCAATAAGGGCGGATCTACATTAGAAGGGGGCAGCTGCACCCAGTAAAAAAAAATAATGAGCTCCTGTAATTTATTAAAGGTAATTGTTATTGCCCCCACTCCAGATTATATATTTGCCCCCACTCATTTTGTTTCTTTCATTCGTTTATCTGATCAACTTCTTATTTTAATAATTAAATTGTGTCCACCAAAATTAAATAGACAAACTAGATAATTTCTTTTGATATCGTAGAATAATATCATTCAAATATCATTTACAGTACTATGTTTAAAATTATAATAATTCCGATCAATTAAATTTTGTTCAGAAAAAAACTGACAGTAAACTTTTGATTGGTAACTAAGAAAGAATAACATTAAATTTTATTACATTATATTAATCATCTTAACACATGCATCTTATAATTATGAAAAATAAAATTAGAAAGAAAAACTATTATATATGAGTTGTGATATATATATATATATATATCAAGTATTTATGTCAAGTTTAGAAAATAGTTAGTTTGAAAAGATTCTATTATATAATTTATATTACTAGGGTATAATATACATTTATTTTTGGATTTTAAAATATTAATTATTAGGAATAGTTTAGTTGTGTACAAATCAGCAATTTTATATATTAAAACATAAATCACAACTTTGATTTATGTGTAATAATTTAAAAAGTGGACCCTCACAAGAAACTAATTATCATTCATTTATTCATAATAATATGGCTTAATAATATTTTATTCCTAATATAACAATCGATTCCTATAAAACTGAATTGGTTAACAAGCATATATTTGATTCCTTAATAAATTATACACAATGGTAATGTAAACCATCGTATATTTGAAAATATTGAACCGATTTAAATAATTAAACTAATATATATATAATGGTTGTATAAACATCTTATCTATTAAAATAGAAATCATTTCATGTGTGATTTTTTAATTTGGAACATCTTATCTATTAAGATAGATTTAATCATAATATCTCTTATATCTTTTCATTTTAACTATAAATATATATTTTTTAAAAAAAAATCTAACAAATCTGTTTAAAAGATTTTGACAACTTAATATTCAAAAATTCTGAGTAAATATTTTGATAATTCGTAATTAGTTTTAAAATATTCTATACATTAATATATATTATAAATTGTAGAATATATTTTTTAACTAAATATAATAAATAATATTAAATTAGTAAATTTATCTATTTTATTGTCAGAAGTATTTATGTTCAAAATAAAATATGTTGGTAATAGGGATTAACATTCGTAAACTATATAATACATGTATAAAAATTAAGGGAAATTGCCAGAAATAACACTTTCAAGATACCACTTTTCAACTTTACACTAACCAACTTTACCAATAAAATTTTAATAGTCAAAATACTATTAGAATTTAGGGTTTAGAGTTTTGGATTTAGGATTGATAGTTTAGGGTTTAGTGTTGATTTTTAGGGTTTAGGGTTTACTTTTTAGGGTTTAGATTATAGGGTTTCAGGTTTATAATTGATATTTAAGGGTTTAGGGTTGATTTTTAGGGTCTAGGGTTTAATTTTTAGGGTCTAGAGTTTAGAATTGATGTTTTAGAGTTTAGGGTTACTATTGTATTGAATATTTATTTTATGTATATATATAAAGAACAAGGATATAAGAGTCTTTTATCATTTAGTAAAATGTGTATTTTTGAAAATGTTCATTTGTTGATGGTAAACATGAAAAGTGGTACCATCAAAGTGGTATAATTGAAATTCTCCCAAAAATTAACATGTATTTCATTAAAGCTAATAATATATAATATTTGTAACTATTTTAATCATGATATCTTTTCAGTTTTAAATAAACACACACACACACACACACACACATATATATATATAACTCTAGAAAATCTGTTGAAAAATAATTTGATAATATCTTAATTTTCAGGAATTTTATGTAAATATTTTAACTAATTTTGTAATTAGTAATGAACTATTATTATGCATTAATATAGGGAGAATTTCAATTATACCACTTTAGTGGTACCACTTTTCATGTTTACCATCAACAAAATAACATTTTCAAAAATACATATTTTATTAAAAGATAAAAAAACTCTTATATCCTTGTTCTTTATATATATACATAAAATAAATATTAAATAAAATATTAACCCTAAAACATCAATCTAAACTTTAGGCCCTAAAAAGTAAACCCTAAACCCTAAAATATCAATTCTAAACCTTAAACCCTAAACTCTAAACCCTAAAAAGTAAACCCTAAACCCTAAAAAAATCAACACTAAACCCTAAACTATCAATCCTAAACCCTAAACCCTAAATTCTAATAGTATTTTGACTATTAAAATTTTAATGGTAAAGTTGGTTAGTGTAAAGTTGAAAAGTGGTATCTTGAAAGTGTTATTTCTAGCAATTTCCCATTAATATATATTCAATTATCATTTATAAAATGAAACATAAAAATTATATCTTATTTTTATGTATTTTATAATAATAATAATTCATGTTAAAATAAAATTATTATATTGAATTAGATATGATAAATTATATTAAATTGATAAATTTATAATTTATTTTCATAAATATAAAAGATTTATGCTAAAAATATGATACGGTGATATAACGACTTAAGATTCGCAAACTATATGATACATATACAAAAATTGACACATCTTAGACTTTTGTATATACAAATAATATATTTTTAAATAAATAAACTTGAAATATATTGCTAAAAAGAAATACGTCTTTGAAGGTTGACTAGTCAGAATTGAATATAAATTTGATACAAAATAATTTTCAAATATGTTGTTTCATGCATATATTAATTTTTTAAAAACTAAATCAAAATACATTAACATAAATGTATAATAAAAATGACAAATATATATGATAATTTTAAAGTATTGATTAATTACACAATATAAACTATAAAATTATATTTGTAATAGGTATATCAACATTTAAATATATGGTAAACGTTATAATTGTATACCACTATGAACTTAAATAAATATATATGTTTATAAAACTTAAAAGAACATCAGTGCGGTTGCACGGATCAAGATCAAGTATAAGATTAATTTCAAGACATTCTGAAATATAGTATAAGAGATCCTGTAAACATTCACAAGACATTTTATGTTTATATTACTTATAATGTATTACTTAATAAAGTTAGGGTTTTAATCAAATATATTTATAAATTCAAGTAATTGGAAGAAACTATAGTATATATATATATATAATTTTTTTTGTCTAATAGCTACATATTCATATTCTGATAAAGTTGAAAATCATGTAAACTTCAATCAAATATGGTATTATTTTATTATAAAAGCTATAAATTAGCTATTTAAAATATTATGCCACATATGCTATAAAAGTATTGTTTTAAAGATTGTCGCAAGCAGAATGTTTAATAAAGCATAATACATAATTCTATCAAAAAATATATTCTTATAATTATGTTCTCATTCTCACTTCTACTTTTAAATTATTTATACATGTACTAAGGATTCAATGCATGTTATATTTATAACTAGGGCTGGTCCGCGCTACGCGCGGAATGTGAGATATTTTTCTTGTTGAAAATATACTTCTTTTATAACCATTTTTTTGTTTGCTCGTTGCAACTTCAGTGGTTTTCAATTTGGTCATCCTTTTGAAATGATATTGAGATGTCAGTACCATTAATTCTTAGGCGTCAAGTACTATTTAGTTTGTGCTTGTTGATTTTTCATGTTTTTAGTTTTATCTTGCTTTTGTTAATTTGATAACTGTTGCATTATTGCTAGCTTTATTTAGGTTTTGTAAATTTTATTTAGGTAGATTTTTCATTTGGTTTGTTTACCAAAAGTAAAACATTTTTTTAATATTATTTTTGGGGATAAAAGTTCTTTCCCGTTAAAAAATAAAAAAGAAAGTGCTTCTTCTTCGTCTTTATATTTACATATAAAATGGTTTGGCAGTTGAAGTTTTTATTTTGGGAGAAAGTGCTTCTTCTTCGTCCTTATATTTACATTTAAAATGGCTTGGCAGTTGAAGTTTTTATTTTGGGCTTTACAATGGTAATGATTTATGTGGAAACTAAACTTTACAAATGTTAAACTCTTGTTACGTCAGTTTTGTTGACATCACTCTTGTGGAGGATCATGTTTTGCCAAATACACCGGTCTAGGAATTCTATAGCAGTTAGTAATTTTGGAGTCATATGGTTTTATGCAAGTCATTTTTCTTCTTCTATGGTAGAGTTAAGGATGGTTCAACTCATGCTTCGTTTTCATTACAATCATGAACCTCGTAAAGCGATGTGGCAAGTCGGGTGAGCTAACTTATATTCGTTTTGAGAATAGGCGGAAACATATTTGATCTTGGTCCTGCATTTATACGGGTTATTAAGTTTGTATTTGTTTAGAGATTACAGTCTTCTATCTTATCTGGCCCTAGCTAATAAAAAGACAGAAATTTGAAGTATTTAGTCTCGAATTTATTAATGAGACAATATTTTTTAGTATTTTTCCTTTGAAGATTTGTAATATGATTATATGTAGAGTTGTGTAATAGATCTTGTGTGACTATGTAAAATCATTTTCTTAAAGTAGGAAGGTGGTATCAGTTTTTGGATTTTGCCAGCGTTTACAACTATTAACATTTTTCACATTAAGGGGAATAAAACCCTTACTGACGTCGTCTTTTGGCTAAGTCTGCTACCCGAGGTATCATTCTTGGCTTCTTGACAGGAGAGTCTACAAAAAATTATTGCTGACATGGACATACGAAGGGAGATGAGAAAGTGACCTCCCCATGAATCTAGCTGCAAAGCTTGAAACCTCTCGAGCTGCCAAAATAAAAAAGATGTTAGTGGAAGTTTAATCGCTAAGATCAAACACAATCTTTCATAAAGAAAAAGCTAGAACCTCTTTTCTAAGCATTTTAGATTCAAAGCTTCTGTTCATCAAAGTAAGAGTCTTCATGAACATGAGCATCACTACAGTTGTGGCAAATGGTGTGTTTGTCAGCTTCTCGCATGTCAATTTTTTCGCAACAAATCATATCATTCTCTTCCTTGAGTGCACAGTTATCAGCACTTTCGTGTTCTGCCTGCAAGAAGAAACGATGGAGAAGCAAAACTAAGAACTTATCTTTCTTCTTTATTGGAGAAGAGACAAAGCAAGGAAGAGAGAAAGTAAAAAGTTGAAAACCTTCTTATGTATTCTCAAAACTTGATCTATTTTGGAGCTAAACCAGTTCTCTGCTAAGTTACATCCTCTGTTTCTCATCTGGATGTTGACACTCACTGAAAGAACTGCAAGCAAAAGCATAAAAGAACAGAAACAAAAAGCTGGAGAAAACAATTGAAGGGAAAAAGAGAATATGATTCAAGCAGTAGGATATGTTGTGGTGTGTGGTGGTGGAAACTCTTCTAGATAAATAATCCCAAAGAGTAGGTTAACCACCAGACCATACAGTAAATCTGTCCCTCTCTTCCACATACTAAGAAGCATTTGGCTAAAAAGGTTTTCAATTAATTCTGCTTATATGATTTCTTAAAAATCAAAACCTAAATAGACAGAATATAAATGAGATCTGAGGTGAGAAAAAAAAACTAACAGTTCTGTAATGTGTTGTGGAAGTCCCAAAGCGAAAAGAGGGATGAAGAAATATGTTGAACCAAATCTTTCTCTTCCCCTGAACAGAGATAAAAAAAAAAATGAGAACCTTTTTAGTAAGCTAAGCCTATGATGTAATACCTGCAATGCGAAGATTGAATGCATCTATCATTCTCTTAAACTTCGTTATCATTTGGTGTTGTTTTAGCAGTACTGCAATAGTATATTCTTCTAGCTTCAGTACTGCAAATACATAACAGTGTGAGAAGATATATCATGATTCTAATCATCTTTAAATATATCATCATCAAATTTAATTCAGAAAGACAATTGACATACCCCTTTTGGAGGTAAAATCTTGCCAATGTAGGATCCAACTCAGTGACTTTATTATCTGCAAAATCTCTGCTCATGGAAAGGCACAATAAAGCATATGGTAAGATTAGTAAAGAGCCAGAGAAACCTGGAGAAACAAAAGGTAACTATTATTCAAACCTGCAACTAATAGTGAAAGTAGAATCATCTGGAAATAAACTTAAAGACATGGAGGGTAAGCCAAATGAAGGCCTCAGGTCAACACAAAGTAAATATTTGAAAGGTTATCAATAGAAAGTGAACCGTCAATCTAGAGATCATTGTAGTGGCGTTTTCCAGAGATATTCCTTTTTGCCTGATCTTCCCTTCCTCGGTGACCGCCATGGCTGTCTTCATCAGTCACGCAGCAAGCATTAGCTATGTCTTTGACCAAACCTAACCTACTGTAAAAGTGATTCCAAAACATCAGATTAACAAAGATAAAACGATAGAGAATCAAACAGGTCTGAAGGGATTGATTTCGCTTTATTAAGAAGCAGTTATAGAATGGTTTTGTAGATGAAATGGTATGGGTCGAGGTTGCAGATGAATAAGGCGAAAGAATTGCAGAATCAGAAACGGTGATGGTGAAGTGGAAGTGGAAGAGAATCATCGAAGAATATACAATCAGGCGAGTAGGAGACGCCAAACGTCGCCTCTCGCTGGGGAAAGCGTAGAGGTAGAAGGTGAACAAAAAAAAATAACGGGCCAGCGAAGAATATGCAAAGCCCAGACGGGAAATAGAGTGCGGCCCAACAACAAAACCTGTTCTGACGTGGACTTACCCACGTGTAATCCGACGTGGACACTCTAAGGAGTGATGCAACTGTACTTTATATAATAGATATATGAATAGGAATTTAGTTCATTGGTATTACTTGTTTGAGAATTATGAATATTTTAGAGTTTCGATCAATACAATGATGCCAATTTATTGTGTCTATATATTTTTTATTTGAGAAAGACTAAAGCACAATAACTAAATTACAAACACTATATAGTATATATTTATATATGATAGAGTTACTACCAATAAAAATTTGGATGAATATTACGCTTCATATCATATAACTAATACGATTTTAAAGATTGGATTGAGCAAAATAATAAGATTTCTATCATAATTCTTATATCTACTTATTTAATTAAGTTTAAATAATGGACTATTTTCAAAATTAACTCAAAATATGAAGTCAATCCCAAAACTAACCTATATTTTTTGGATTTTTTTACCTGATTCACCCTACAAGTTCACATTATTTACGAAAAATGTCATTAATTTTTTTATTTCTTTTCAAAAATTATTTTTTTACTCTCTCAACCTCATCATCTTCAATTATTTACAAGATCATCATTGCCATCAATACACAATCACCATAAACAACCAATTTGAAGCTCTTAATGTACCTCAAATCGATTTACACTTATTCTTTCTCAATTCTTATGAACTAAAAACAACATCTCTTTTACTTTCTCCCCTTATTCATTTAAAAAAAACCCAATATTTTGATTCTAAAATTTGTATGGTTCATAGAGCCATTGAAGCTTACGATTCTTGGTGGATTACTTTTGTTTGAGATTTTGGGTACTTGGAAAAGACTTCTTTGTGCTAAACAAGTTATCTCATTGGTTGAAACTATGAAATGAATTTTTTTTTCAAATTTGTTCGTCCAGACGACTTCCAGATAAATCGTCTAGCAATCGAGGTTAGTTTTGCAATTGAATTTTATTTTTTTTCTAGACGACTTACATGTAAGTCGTCCACCTTTGTTTGATAAAAAAAACTCAAGACGCTGTATTACATTTGACCGGAATGTGTAAGAAATTTCCCCTTTTCTAGACGACTTACGTGTAAGTCATCTAGTAGAAAAAGAAAAAATAATATTTTGTTTTTTTTTCTAGACGACTTACATGTAAGTCGTCTTACATGTAAGTCGTCTTAGGTTAGTTTTGCAATTGATCGTCCGTACGACTTACTCGTAAGTCGTCCAGGAAAAGTCAAATTTCTGACACATTCCGGTCAAATGCAAATCTAACCCGTTTCCCCTAGACAAATTACATGAATGACTTCCAGACGACCTATGTGGAAGTCTTCTTCGTCAATGTTTAATAAAATTTCATTTTTTTTCTAAACCTATAAAGACTTTTTAATATAGATTTTTTTTTGTTAATTCATGTATATTAGTCAATATTAGAGCTACTGAATGAAATTTATAATTTTATTGGTGATATTTAATTAAAGTTTATAGCTGATCCGAGAAGACTTTGTGGAAGTCTTATACGCTAGTTTCCAAGTCTTATACGCTAGCTTTTGAATAACTTGTATTTTTAAAAGTCAAGATATGTAAAACTCATATTTTCAAAATATGTTTTTTCCCTTTGTTTTACTAAATTTGACTAAGTTTTTCAACACAAACTTGTAACGATGTAACATGCTTCGATTGGTTACTATTGTTTGTTTCCATCTCTTAAGTATTATTGATATATATACCAATGATGATTATTGTTATAAGTTAGAAGAATGGTTAAAATGTTGTATCAATACGAGGCTACCAAAATTCTTGTTTATTAAGATGAGAAGAAGGCCATTGGAGTTTATTATTGCATATGGGAGATCCAAAGATGAGAAAAAGGCTATTGAAGTTTATTATTTCATTGATTTGTAAATGTGTAAACACATTGTTTGCACATATATTACATCTTGGGAAACATTATTACTGACTTAAAAAAATATTCACGACTAAAGGAGTACACATGCAAATCACAAAACATACTACAAACAAAATTATTATAGATTATTATAGTTTAGTCGTCTGGAAGACTTTCTGAAAGTCGTCTGGAAGACTTCCTGGAGGAAGTCGTCTGGAAGATTTTCTGGAAGTCATATAGAAGACTTCCTCGAAGTCGTCTAGAGCATTATCTGATACAGATATGAAAAACATGTATATCAAACCCTGATCTGAAAAATCTGCAAAAAAAAAAGATTTGTGAGAAAGACATGAGACAAAACTGAAAAATTCATATAAAGTTAGGTGTTTTCAAGTCAAAGAGATTAAAGTGGGGTTTGAGAGTTTTAGTTTGGGAAAAAGGTAAGAAATTTATGCAACAGGAGTTATCAAATGAAGAAAAATCAGACATATAAACTTACCAAAACGTTCAGATCTGTTATAAAATAGAGAGACATGAGAGAAGACTCCGTCATAAGAATTCTTGGAAATCTTCTGGAAGACTTCCTGAAAGTCTTTTAGAGCATTATATTTTAGATGACTAACATGTAAGTCGTCCCAGAAGTTTGTCCAAATCTTAAAAACCTACATATCCAAATCTGAAAAACCTACATATCCAAAAACGTTCAAATGATTTTAAAATAGAGAAAATGAGTGGAAGATTAGATAAATCTAACTTTATAGAACACACAAAAATATATATCTAAAATTAATAGATCTACCTTTAAATGAGTGAAAGATAAGAACCATGTGATGAAAAACAACAAGATAAATTAGTGAGAAAGACATGAGACAAAAACAATAAATTGATATAAAATTTGGTGTTTATAAGTTCAAAAAGATTAGAGAGAGATTGGAGAGTTTTAGAATGATGAGCATTACATTTTCGATGAAGACATTTGAGAGGAGAAGAGAGAATATGTAATGTTTTCTTTATATAGGGAGAAAAAAATTCAATTAGGTCAAATATTTTTGATTCAGACGAAGATAGACAACTTACTTGTAAGTCGTCCAAAATACTTATCATTTTTAGTGAGAAACTAAAATATTTTTAGTGGAAAACTAAAATAGCAGACTTCCTAGACGACTTCATCTAGACCCTAAACATAATTTCTATACGAATTTAACAAACTAAACACTTCATAAAATCAAATTAAACTTAAAAAATGTTTATATACACGGAAATAAACACATATATGTACAAATTTAATTTTTCAAAAAACAAATTTTAGATTTTCAGTTTTAGTTTAGTAAACAATTATTATTATGTAAAATTTTATTTTTCTTTTTTTGAATAAAATAATATTTAGGCGGGAAATTAATTTTAAGCAGAAATATTAGGACGACTTACATATAAGTCGTCTGGTTTAAATTATTATCAGACGACTTATAATTTAGTCGTCTAAACCCTAAACATAACCCATAAACTTAATTAACTAACTAAGCACTTCATAAAATCAAATTAAACTTAAATGTGTTTTCTATACATAGAAATAAAGACATATAGGTAAAAATTAATTTTCTCAAAAAAACCTTCAAGCTTTCCAAAATCTAACTCCAAAAATACATATAATACTACAACATATGTTGTCAAATCCTAAAACCAAAGAATATCATAATCAACTATTTTCACTCATCTATGTTGAAAGCTATTCAATTTTATTATATCTTAATTTATATCACTTAAAACTGTTCATAATTTCATGATCTTCATTTTTCACTTGTCAAAATATTTTTTTACAAAATTTATAAATTATTTATAAGATCAACTACATTAGGCGACTAATTTGGAAGACTCAGATGACTTACTGAGGCTATATTCATAAAAATGACTTCTATTTTTTGGTTGGTCACAAGGGGCTGACTGTAATTTCACAAGGATTTTAGGTTAGTTTTGAATTTGATTCAAGTTTGAGTATAGATTTGTATTTAAAATTATGTTTGAGTCATATTTGGCAAATTTTTCTTAAATAATAGTATAAATTTCTATTCTAATTCTTATTTCTACTTGTTTAGTTAAGTTTAAATTATAGTATGCATTTAAATTGATGACTCATCAGTCAAAATCATAAGAATATGACAAATAATCCAAATTACCTATAATCATATAGAATTTTTAAAAATGAGAAAAATACTTCTCAAATAGTACTATTTACATATGATAGAGCTTCCACTTATTAAAACTTTGATGTATATTACATTACATATCCTATAAAAATATGATTTTAAATATTAGGATGAGCAAAATATTTAGATTTCTATCTTAATTCTTATTTCTAATTATTTAATTAATTTTAATAATAGTATAGATTTCTATCCTAATTCTTGTTTTGACTTATTTAATTAAGTTTAAATAATAATATAATTTTAAATAATAGTATAAGTTTAAATTGATGACTCATTAGGAAAAATCATAAGAACATGAAAAATAAATAAAATTACCTACAATCTTAAAAATATATCAAATCAGCAATATCACTTCTCAAATAATAGTATAGATATATTTTTCACTAATTAAAAACTTGATTTAAATTACGCTTCATAACCTATAACAAACATGATTTTAAAGATTGGATTGAAAAAATCATTTAGATTTATAGCTTAATTTTTATTTCTACTTGTTTAATTAAATTTAAATATTTGTATAAATATAAATTAATGACTCGTTAGCCAAAATCATAAGAACATGGTAAATAAGCAAAATTTCCTATATTCATGGAGAACATGAACAAATCTTTCTATTTATTTAAATAAGTTTAAGTAATAGTATAAGTTTAAACAGATGATTCATTAATCAAAATTATAAGAACATGATAAATAAATAAAAATCATCTAAAACTATGAAGAACATGACAAATCAGCAAAATTATTTCTCAAATAATAGTATAGATAAATAAATTTACTTTTTCTAATAAAGTAGTTGCTATTAACTAAAAA